TTTTTTTTTTTTTAAAAAAAAAAAAAAAAAAGAAAGAAAAAAGGATTATTAAAAATATTTGTCCCCCGTTTCCCAGAAGCCTCATGTAATGGCTTTTTCATTTTGAGCAATGTGTTCACACACGGCTTCTCAAACAATCTGTCCCGCTCTGGTTTTGCTTAATGCTCGGCAGCGATTGTGTTACAGTTGCTCTCCGGGCGACTCTCTCCCCCCCCAACTCCACACACACCCTGCTGCAGGATGTACCCGTAAAACACAAAATGCATTTATTCACGATTTTCTAAATTGTTTCATTTCAGAGGTTTACAAACGAGGACCACCTGGCGGTTCATAAACACAAGCATGAGATGACATTGAAATTCGGCCCTGCTCGAACTGACTCAGTCATCATAGCAGGTATGTGGCGTTCAATCCAGGCCAGCTCTGAAAATGGTGCACATTAATATAGCATGACTGCAAGATTAATACCAGGGACCAGATGCACTGAAAAACGTCTCTACCTCCCATAAAAAGCTCTTGTGATCTGCATTTAATCAGGAGGAAAGGAAAGCCAGAGGCTTCCAAGTTTCTTTTTTTTTTTTTTTTTTTTTTTTTTTTTTTTTTTTTTATGGTAGTATCAGGTTTTGTGGGGTTTGGTCGGTTATTTTTTTTTTTTATTTTTTTTTTTTTTTTAAAGCTCTCACCCTTTTTATTAAGACTGGAAGATTTATGGACAAAAGGTCTTTCACATTTCTGCATGTGCTTTGAGGACGATGAACAAAATCTGACAAACCCGGCTTCCTCTCCTCAGCCCAGGTGTCAATTTTCTTGAGCTTTTAGGCTAGCAGTTAATAAATTAAAATGCCGTCGAGCGCACTGGCTACTGCCCCGAGTGCATTTGCAGAGCCCAAATGAGGCTCTCTGGCACTGCATGGTCAATGCAGCCTTTATAAGATTGGGGAAGAAAAAAAAAAAACCAACCCAAAACCCCCTGTATATTGTTGTCTGGCAGCAGATCATTGCTGGTTACAGATATTCTCCTGCCTTGTCAGTCCCCGTTCGTTCAGGCTTCTTAAAAGGGCGTGAGGTTTGTGTTGCTGCGGGATGAAAAGGCTGTTGCTGAGAACAAGAGGAGAGGAGGAAACGCTTTCTGAAGCCTTGAGAGTTCATTAGGGGAAACGAAGCGTCTGCTGCAAGAACCTGGCACCCTTTTCCCGGTTCATCTCCAGCCCAAATTCAGTGTTGAAGTAGGAAATAGCAATTGGGTTGGTTTCTTAAAACCTTCGAGTTAATTGTAGCTGTGGGGAGGGTTGTAAGAGAGCTGGCGCAGCCTTTGCTGGAAGGGCAAAAAGCTTCTCCCCCCAGGGGAGGGCTTGCAGAGACAAAACAGGCTCCCAGAGGGAGAATTAATTTCAAATGGGATCAGGCTAATGGGAGTCGATGGTGAAGAATTTGGGGCGGGGGCTGAGAGAAAGCTCAGAATCCTAAAGGTTGTTTTTCCGTCAGCTCCCCCCCTTCCTAAAGAGGGTGCACAGCGGCAGGGTTAGCTTTTGCTTGATAAATGCGGGGTGTAAGTTGGCAGGGATGGGGGCAGCAGAAATGGGGTATGGGCCTGTCCCCAGCTGGAGTCCCACCTGCTCTCACAGGGGTGCAGCATGAAGAGCCCTCATCTTTGCTGCTCCCTGAGGTATATATTCCTCCTGGGCACAAACTCTCCCGGGGAAAAACAGGGGTGGGATGAAACACTTCAGTTTTACCCCAAGGAACAGCAATGAGGACGGGTCTAACCCCCTCTCCCAGCTCCTCTGGGCTCATGCTCAGTGGATTGCTCTCCGGGGTAAGCCACAACGAAAAGAAAAAAAAAAAAACCCAAACCCCGAATTTATTTAGCTGTGGTCAGTGCAAGTCCAGCCTATTTAACACCAGCTTTCCCTGGCTGAGATCTTGACAGCAGATCGAGCTGCCGGGGGGTTGCGAGGGCTATAAAGCATGCTGGCTTTGAGCAGGCAGATCTAGGGCGTTATTGCCCTACATTCCTAATGTCCTTTTTTTTTTTTTTTTAAGCCACCATTTTGTCTCTGAGTTTTCTTGTTCTCTCCCTCCCTCTTGCTTTGTGCTGAGTCCAGGGCAGCAGCCCGTGTGGTAATGAGCGGGAGGATTCAGCGAACATCTCTTGCCGTAACGCCGTGGTTAAGCTAAAGAGAGTGGTAAAGAATTATTTTTTTTCTCTCTGCTGGTTCTAACTGGTGGCAGAGAGGCTTATTTAAATGGGAACGTGCACTTCTGGGGTGATGCTGTGGGTGGAAGAGCTGCTGCGATTCCTGGAGGTATGAATTGGGGTGGGGTAGGACGAGAGAGGTTATACGACTTCGTGGCATTTGTGAAAACTTCTGCTGGAGATTTGGGCCCCGGGCTGGCGTGTGCAGCTCGGAAGGACATTGCTAAATGGGGAATGATCCGAAAAGAGCCCTGAGAGCTGTTAAAGCCCTTGGAAAAACAGCCTCCTGCTGAGCTCTGTCGTTGACAAAAGTTTCTTGGTTTAATGAAGAGAGATTTGGGGGGAACCGAAGTGTGCTCAGAGGAGGCCTTTGCTTTATTAACAAAACCAATGGCTCGGGTTTGAAGTCAGACTGGAAATAAAGTGTAGTTCTGCGACAGCAAGGTTGAAGGAATGGCCCGAATCCCTTCCTGAAGGCTGCAGGAGACTCTCCACCACCGCCTGGTTTGAAATCAAACGGGATGGTTTCCACAGACACTTCAGCTACTGCGCTCGCACGGGGAGCGTCCGTGCCAAACAGCCGATGTTTTATGCAGCAGGTCAGGCTAAAGTATCCCAGGGATCCCCTTTGTGCTTAAAAATCTGTGTAGTTTTCTGCCAGATGGATTCTTTCGGTGTAACTGTGCTCGTGCTGGGCTCCCGCTTAGTACCTGGACTCCTGACCTACCGTCACGCAGAAAAACGAGGCTCGCTGGGAGCGAGGAGATTTCTCTCTGCTTTACAGCCTGGGTGATGGCCAGAGAGATCATGACTCAACGTGTTAATATGGTGGAAAACGGGCCCCGGAGGGATTGCTTGGGACAGTGGTGGTAATTATTAGCACTCCCACGTAGCCGTCTGTCCTAGGATGTGCATTAATGCACGGAGCCGGCCCGGGGAGGGAAGCGACGCTGCCCAGCTCTGTTCCACATCAGCACTGGGGCTGCTCCGAGCAGCCCTTTTCCCTCTCATCACTCCCTGTTTTTAAGATCCGCTCTTTCAGGGAGATCAAACCCCACTATTTTCCTTCCTTGCAGCAGCGATTCAGATGAGGACAAGGAAAACCCTGGGGTGGGAGGGACACGACGTGACCCAAAGGCAGGAATTTCACAGAAATCACTGCACGCCTTTCGCTGCAATGTTTTTTGTTTTGTTTTTTTTAAACTGCATTTACCAGAGAGACAAAATCAGCAAGAAATTATTTTCCCCTTTCTGAATTGTCACTTGCTTTGCAAACACGACGCACACCTTAGCAGGAAAGCACCCAGACTTCCACAAAACATTTGCTCGCAATCCCCGGAGAGGACTGAGGTGGTTAAAGCAAATTCTTTACCCTCTCTTTAACCCCTGCTTGGTGTTAAAACCCAAACAGATCAGACTCCGACCCCAACTCGGTTCCTGAAGAACTGTGAAGAAGTGGGACTCTTCAATGAACTGGCCAGTTCCTTTGAGCACGAGTTCAAGAAAGCTGCGGAGGATGACGAGAAAAAGGCAAGAGGCAAAGGGCCACCGTTGCCATAAAACTGAGCTGGGTGCATATTGTGGGGGCTGGAGGGGGGACGGCGCTGCTCTGATGAAAGGCACATGCTGTAGGGTAACCAAGTGTGGTCTCGGATTTAATATGCTGGCTTACATGGGACTTTATTTTTTTAACTCGGGTGACTTTGGCTGGTTATCCTGCAACCCAAGGCCTGGTGAGAGCGGATTTTAATGGTTTATTATTCCTTTGGCTTTTCGCTTCAAAAAAAGAAAAAAGAAAAAAAAAAAAAAAAGGCAGTACCCAAAATACCTCGCACCTTGGGAAGAAGATGCAGGAAAAGAGCAGGACTAAGTGCTCAAAAATTCACTCGGAGCCTCTTTGGGGCTCCTGATCCTTCAGGATGATGGGGTGGAGCTCAGCCCTGTGCCTTTAGGGTTTGAGCAGTGGCACTGTAGGTGCAAACGGAGAGAGGGGCTGGGTGGAGGAGCGAAGCTTTTCCGAACAAAGAGCTCCCTCACACGCCAGCACCATCGATCCAGGCTGCCCCCGCCAACCCCGGGAGCACGAGGGTCTGAAGGACAACGGGATCTCATCAGATAGCAGCTAATTAAAGACATTTTCCCCCACCCTTTGTAGGATCTGAGGAGCAGCAGATGCATATTGGGCTCTTAGACTGGCACATACATTTACTAAATTGATCTATGTACGTACATACGCTCGCAGTCAGCGGCGCTGCTCGGAAATAAACTGCGGGAGCGCGGCCGCGTAAATCTTCACCGAGATGGGGAACGGAGGAATTCAGAATTAAAACTGAAAACTGTCTTTCACCCGCTCTCCTAATAACAGGGCTCTTTAAAGCATAAATTGATCCCTCTCATTGGTATGCTGCAGGGCCTTGTCGGGGGGCTGCGTGGCATTTTATGCTCTCAATTCCCTGCCTTTTGTTCTCTGCAGCCCAGACCCCCGAGCGCTGGGGAGAAGGTAGCGTTTCGTTTGTGGTTTCACACAGAAATGGTTGAGCAGCCCACAGTCTAGCCAGTCGTTTTATACCAAAAGACCACCCATCTCCTGGGCTGCCCTACCTTTTTTTTTTTTTTTTTTTTTTCTCTAGGATGAACTGCAGCCTAAATATTTCCGCCGGCAGCCAGGTGAACGCGGCGGGCGTGAAGCTTGGGGTGGTTTCAGGCGTTTAGGGAAAGCATTATCCCTCCTAAAAAAAAAAAAAAAATCTCTGTGCAGGCGAGGTCCCCGGGCCCAGATGGCTTGTCACTCACGGAGCCTGGCCGGAGCTCCCTGCTGCATTTCTGAGATGCTTTTCAACATTTGGCCGCATCGAGCCCAGTTGCTGCTGCTGTTGTGTTTTGTCCTCCAGTTCCAAGGGTGGTCTCCACACCAGCATGTTAATTAAAACCATAGGCACAGCAGGAGCTTCCCTGGAGGCACTTTAAGTGGTTTGAAACTTTCCTGCCTGTTAATCCCTTCTCCTTTGTGATTCCCAGTGCAACGTCTCTGCTTAAGAGGGGCAGGTAAATGGTTCCTGCACCTACCGCAAGCAAAGCTCCGGCGTAAATCAGCGTGGAGCTGCTTAAATCAGGGCAGAGCGGAGCTGCTGGGGCCTCACCGTGCTCAAGAGCAGCGAGAACATCCCTCCGTGCCCGGCTTTACCCTCTTGCTGCGATTTTCCCTCCCTTGAGAGGACTTAAAATGCAGCAAAGGAGGAGGTTTAGGGTAGCTGCTGGGACGAACTGTCAGCAGCCGGGCGAGCGAAGGCGAAGCATTGGGATTGATTGTGGAGGGAGGGAGAGCAGGTTGGACAAACAGCTGTCGGGACTGATTTAGGGAGAGTTTCTCCTGCCCCAGACGGAGGGAGGAGCCAGGTGATTTGCGAGGTCTCCCAGAGCCCAGTTGAATGCAGCATCCTGCGGTTGGAGTCGCGCTCCGTTGCCTGCTCCTCCTCGCGCCATCTTCTCCCAGGTCTTCTCTTCCTCCAGCTCTGGGGAGGGGAGAAGTGGCCGCTCGGTTTCATCCCCCTCCCTTGTTGTCACCCTGCCCTTTTCCCATCCCCAAGCAAGTCATTAACTGGTTAAAATGGGGCACGTGGCACTGCTGGAACCCAGGGTGGTGGCAAGTTGCCAGCTTCAGGCATATGGTTGGGTTTTATTTTAATGGGGCGCTCATAGATATTTAATAACTTGCATGGCTCTTTGTTTGCTTTTGATAATCGGGTAATAAAATAATTCAGGCTGATTTATACAATGCTTTACAGCTCTTCTGTGAATGAAAGTGCCTTCTGTAACTCGCAGGCATTTGGCTTTGTTACCTGTTCTCCTTAGCAGAGCCCTTTTATGAAAAAAAAAACCCACCCCAAAACTAACCCATGGAAAGAAGTGTCTGTGTGTGTGTGTGTTACTGAGAAACCACAAAATGGTGCCATCTGGGGCAGAGACCATCTTTCCTCGGCCCCCATCTCTGTTTGGACGGGGCCGGCACAGCGCGGCACCGCTCTCCGCCTCGGGCTCCCAGATGCTACTTCAGTACAAATAAATAATAATAATTTGGCAAGAGCTCAGAGCTGTAGCTCTTCCTCTGGGAGCAGCCGAATGTTTCACAAACAATATGAGCTAATTGTCCTTTCAATCCGTGGCTGGTTTTCCTGTAGAGTGCCGGAGCCCTGGACATGTCTCTGCCCTCCACCCCAGACATCAAGATAAAGGAGGAAGAGCCAGTGGAGGTGGATTCTTCCCCGCCAGACAGCCCTGCCTCCAACCCACGGTCACCACAGAACAAGGAGAAGGTAGGTCCCCCCAACCCGTGCCCTGTGGAGATGTTGGTCTCCTTCTCTGGATGAGAACAAGATTGGAGTGCCAAGGCTTGACTCGAGCTTGTCAAGTTCCCCTCATTTTAGAAAGAAAGAGAAAAGCTGCTTTGCTAAAATACACGTTTGCTTGCCCCTGAGTCTCCACGTGGATTTGGCTAAGGCAGAACACCTTGCTGTTCCCCCTGGGAATGCTTTTCCACCAGGGTGAAAGTGCCAAATAAGTGTCCCATCTCCTCCGGGAGCAAATCTTCTCTGAAACCAGCTCCCTGGGTCCTGGGGAGGTGATTCAGAGCAGGTCAGTCTCGGGGACACCGTCTCCATCCGAGCATCTTCCTGCCCTTAGAGACACTAACGGGAGCTGGAGTGGGCACTGGGGGGGAGGATTATTTCCCAGAGGCTGCTGCAGGCAGCTGGAGTCTGAGTTTCTGTGCCCTGCTCCCTGCACTGCCATCAGATCCGTGTGGCTTTGGGTAAGTTGCTCCCCTCCTCACTTCAGTTTCTGTGGCGAAGGTGCCATAATTTTCCCTCAACTCCTTTTAAGCATTAGAAGGAAACGACAGCCAGGTGATTATTGAGCTAAGAAGTAACAGCACATCTCCTTTTGTCTCTTTTATCCTCTTCAGGAGATCCCCTCCAAGCCTGTAATCATTTCTACACCTACTCCAACCATCGTGCGTCCAGGCTCGTTGCCACTCCACCTGGGCTATGACCCGCTGCACCCCACGCTGCCTTCCCCAACCTCGGTCATCACCCAGGCTCCCCCTTCCAACAGACAGCTTGGGTAAGTACGGAGGAGGGACGCATGTGCTGAGGTTTTTCTCCCACACCGTCAGGCTTCCTGGGCAGTAATTAGGTACCTAAATAAGTTCCTTGATTGTCAGAACAACTGAGGTGACGCCATTCCCGCTGCGGCTGCTTGGGCATAAGGGCCTCGTCGCAGCACTGGCTGCAAAAGCGGAATGGGGTGTAAGTGCAGGAAACGGGAACTAATTGTCGTGGCGTAACGAAACGAGGCAAAACTCACCGTGGGGAGAAATTAAAGCTGGTCCCCAAACACGTTGACATGACACTGGCTGTCTGTGAGGGGAGCGTGGCCTGACGGGGGACTCCCAAGCTGCTTTTGCAGGCTGATGCCGTGGCGAGAGCTCAGCTAAAGCGGCGGGAGGAAATTGTCTGGATCTTTAACGGCCTTGGGATTTTTTCTCAGACAGCTGTTGCCTCTGAAGTGTAACCTTTTCTGCAACCCGCTGGCCTCCTTCATGGTCAGCTTCTGCCTCGGGAGCTGTTTGTTTCAGCAGATCTAATGACCTGCTCCTTTTTTGCCCCTTTAACAACCTGGATCGGAGGCTCCAGAGCACTTGCTGCCGGGTTATGAGCCCGCTACACTGTTGGGTACCTCCAGCCCTGCACATAAAAGGAAGGAGCCTGAAGGATGCAGGAAACACATTACAATGAGCCCTCGGGAGACGTCTACTTAGCCCCACTTCTATTCTTTGGTGTCAGGATGCTTCTTTTTTGCTGTGGTCCTGGCCTCTTTCTAATTACCCTGGTTTGAGGCTGGCTCCTTACATTAACCAGGCCATTTTTTTCAGCTGTCAGTTCATATTTTCGTGTGTGTTTTTTGCTCTGACCCTCTGGCACCATCAATCCAGACTTCCTGACGGAAAGTTTTAAATCCTGTCTTGAGGCATTAAGGGGTTAAGTGATTGTCCTGGGGTTTTGAAAGGGCATTATATTCCTTCTGTAACCCTGCACGGGCAGCTGGGCTGTTTGGAACCGAGTCCCCTTGTGCTGGGAGGCACGAAAAAATCAGAACTGGAGGAAGCTGGACTTGAATATGATTTTATGTGCCCTTCGCAGGCCACAGGGATAGGTCCCTCCTGGGGTAGATCCCTCCTGGGGTGCAGGAGCTGAGCGCACGCTCCGGAGAGGTCGGGCTGCAGCTTTACCGAGGGTCCCTGTGTTAGGGCCGTGGTGGGTTTGTCAGCGTGACAGAGATGGAGGGGAGGCTGTGACCTTCCTGTAACTCGCCTTGTTAGGCTGGGATTTTCAAAGCAGCCTGGAGGATTTGGAATGCCCAATAGAAATGAATGAGAGGCCAGCGTTCACGTTCCCAAGGCAGCCTTAAAAATTCCAGCCTGAGTTATTGGCGCGATGAACTCCCCCCCGTCTCTGACCCACGTCCCCTGCCTCTCCCCTTACTCCGTGCCAGCGCAGCTTCCTCCGAGGATCCCAGGCAGCCCCTTCCCTGGGCTCGGCAGAGGAGGCAGCAGCAAATTTGTGTTCTCCCTCCCCCAAAGTCAGGCTCCCAGCAGCTCTAATTTTCTCTTCCTGGCTCGTCTCTGCCTCCATTCGGTTCCCTGCTGTGCTGCCACGAAGGGAGGAGGAGCAGGAGCTCAGCCCTTACTGGCAGGGACAGTTTCCTTCCTCTCCCCATCGTCCTGAGCACATCAGCTCCGGCTTTTTCTCTGCTCTCCTAGAAAAGCTGAGACGGGAGGCTCAGACCCGGAGCACCCTGAGGTTTGTGACGCTCCGAAATGGAGGCAGGGGGTGGAGTGCGTGTGTGTGCGTGTGTGTGCGCCTCTTTGTCACCACACGCAGAAACGCTGCCTTTCGCTGCAAAGTGATCTGCCATGGAAAAAAAGTTCTTGGTAGTTTTAATTTGTCACAATTAGGCTCCGGCGCAATCGCCTCCTCCCTCAGCCTGCAGCGAGCGGGGCCGCTCCCATCTCCCAGAGCCATTGTCTGGGCAGACACCAGCCAGCCCTGCATCAGCTCCGTATTGAGGAGATTTTCTCTGGAGTCAGAGTTAATGGAAAGCTAAATCCTTGCAAACCCTCTCGAGGGAGCTCAGCAGAGGCAGCTCACGGGCCGGGGAGTTCCTGGTGGGCAGGAGCAGCTGCTCAGATCCCCCCCACGGTGCCAGGCTCAGCCCGGGAGGACACTGAATCTCCCCGAGGAGGAATTGCAGCATCCCCCAGCCGTGCTTTGGTGTCTGTTCAGGTGGGCAGTGCGTCTCGGGCCTTTGCCAGCTGCAGCGTTTTGGCCCACGAGTTCTCCAGAACCCACCATAACTCTGCCAGCCCCGAGCAAGGAGCAGCAGCCTGGGTCACCTCCGTGTGACACTGGCACGTGCTGGCTGCCCTACAGCCACTCTGCGGGAGCCTGAGTCACCTTAACACCTGCTCAGCCAGGCTTTGCGCCTGCCCGTTCAGAACTGGGAAAATGGAACCCAAATCCACTAACCGGAATTAATTTGTGCATCTGCCCTTGAGCTCATGGGGCCGCCGGGACAACGTAATCTTTGACATAATCTGTGAGAACTTGAATTGTTGTTTCTCCAGGTCTCCCACAGGTTCCCTTCCACTTGTCGTGCAGCTTGCAAACGGACAGACCATGCCCGTCCTCCCAGGCCCTCCCGTACAGATGCCTTCTGTTATATCGGTGAGAGAAACTTCCAACACGGCGGCGAAGGGGCCAGAGTTTTTCCCTTGCCAAATATCCGCAGACGCTTCCATTTTGTAAAAATTAAAAGATATATCTCCCCCTCTGTGCAAGATATGACTGGAAGAGGAGGAGGAGGAGGAGGGCTTCCAGCTCTGGCGAGGTAGTAATAACATGTCGATCACACTAGAGGGCAATAAGTCTGGAAAAAAACAAAGCCTTGCCTGGACAGATGGCTCATGCCATTGATCCAGGGCTGGGAACTGTAGGATCCCTGATTAGCTGCTTCCATTTGGAACAGCGTGTCTCCATTGAAACCATTCGAGCTTGCAGAGAACATGTTGGTCTTTACAGGCCAGGAAAGCCACCCTGAACCTCGCCAGCGTGCTAAAGAGCTGTTTGAATAGCAGCCTTGCGGGTTGTGCTTTTTGGCACGCGGAGAGTTTTCCGTGGTGCAGAACTCACGAGCAGATTTGCCCCGGTGGGTGGCTCCTGCATCTTCCGAGCGCTTCAGCTCCCGACCGAGCAGCCCGTGTGAATCCTGTCCGGCCTGCGGGGCACGTCCGCTGGGTTTTGAGGCAGTGATGGGCAAAACCTTCTGCCTCAGGTGATGGGAATGTTGATGTCAAAGTAGGCGGCTCGGCAGAGCTCGTGGGCACGGAAACATCTTCGCACCTTCCTGATCGTTGGAAACGTTTGTGGTTGTGCTGCTTTGCAAGGGAGTGCCTGAGTGGCTTGGAAAAGCAAATTCTGTTTTTTCTCCTCTTTACTGAGGGAGAAAGCTCCCTGCGAGGGCAAATTCTGTTTTTTTCCCCTCTCTGGTGAGGGAGAAAGCTCCCTGCGAGGGCAAATTCTTTTTTTTCTCCTCTTTGGTGAGGGTGAAAGCTCCCTGCGAGGGCAAATTCTATTTTTTCACCTCTTTGGTGAGGGAGAAAGCTCTCTGTGTTTAGGAGAGGATGCTGTGACTTACCCTTGGTGTCGCAGCAGCTTTGCAATAGAGCCAGGCAGAGACCCAGAGTGGATCTCATACCCTCCCTCTCCTGTCCTGGTGGGGAAAAACCCTCTGGGAGGGAGGGGAAGGCCAGAGGCTTTAGGGCTGCCCTCCTCCCTGTCCTCAGCACTAGGCTGGTATGGCTGGGTGATTCCCAAACAGCCACCGTGGCCACCAAAGGAGTGGCTGCTGGCCTTCAGTGACAGCAGGCGTGATGGATGGCAGCAGTTAAATGCCGAACGTTTGTCAGAATTTATAAATGTGCTTGGTTGGGGAATTATTACAGAGCAGCTTCGTGGAGCTCGGTCGCGAAAGCACCTCAGCTTCCAAAACCTGTGTGTTGCTTCCTCCCTGATAGCTGGCTCGGCCGATGTCCATGGTGCCAAACATTCCCGGTATTCCTGGGCCACCCATCAACAGCAGCGGCTCCATTTCACCATCAGGACTTCCAGTACACTCTGAAGCCAAAATGGTAAGTGTGCAAATACAGCCCGGGGAGGGTCTCACATCTCTGAGACTACACTAGCTCCTCCAGAAGACACTTTGTCTGGAGGTTTTTGGTTTTTTTTTTTCCCCTGCAGCCGTCACGAAGAGCTGCTGCTCCTCCAAAATCCTGCGCAGGCAGCAGAGCGCGGCCCCACGCCGAGAGCAGGTGGCCCAAATGCCACCAGGAATATTAGACTAATCAGTGCTGCAGCTCTGGCAGGCAGAGCAGGCTCGCTATTGTCAAGATAAACCTCAGCCTCATCCTAAACACGGCTGTTTTGTAAAGCTGGTGCTTCTAGTTCCAAGTTAACAGATGGGTTGGAGGTGGGCTTGAGGAAGGCAGAGCCAAGAGGAGAGATGTTGTGCTGAGATCCAAGGATGCTGGTAAATGGTTTTCATGGAGACCCCTTTAACTAAAAGTTTACAAAAAGAATTTTCCTCTCTCGGCTCTTCGTGGCTCAAATTAGGTGTATGCAGAGGGGAGAAGCGAGCCTAAGTTTGCAAACAAAGAGCAGCAAAACCCCTTGGGGTGGTTTTTTTTGGCTGAGACAGGGTGGAGGTGTTGGAAACACCACCCCCCCCAGCGCTGCTGCTGCCGTCGGGTGCCTGCGGGATTCAGGGGCTGAGAAATCTTCAACTCAGGCCTGAAAGAACCGTCCTGCCCCACTGGCCTGTGTCTGGCTGCCCAGAGAAGGAACTTGTCAGACGTCACACGTAGATCCTTCTCCATCCCAGGAGGACCCTCCGCAGGCACTCGAGGACAGTTGGGCTCCGCAGCCTCGGTCTGTGAGAGGCAGCGGGTCGCTGCCAGTCGCAGTAGCAATTTTGGGATGCACACACCTGTCTGCTTGAGCCTGAGTTGGAAGCTGCTCTCTCTTCGCTTAGGCCAGATGGTGATGGCTTTCGGTTGGATCTGAATCAGCCACAGCCCCCAGACAGCCCGTTCCCCAGCGGCCTGGCTCCTTGAGTGACAGAGGAGCTGGTTATAAAGCCTTAACAGCACAGAGAACAGAGCCATAACATCCTTTTTTCTCCTTTAACAGAGGCTGAAGGCCAGCTTGACAGCATCTTCCTCACTGAATGGCAGCAACTTGGTGGTGGGTTCAGCCAGCACGATGGTGACGGCGCGTCCGGAGCAGAGTCAGATCCTTGTCCAGCACCCGGACGCCCCTTCCCCAGCTCAGCCACAGGTCTGCTGCTGCTTAGCCCTGGAGGTTCTGGGGCTTTCTGGGCCTCGGGGAAAGAGAACGGAAACCTTACAGCTTGCTGGTTTGCAGAACAGGTTAAAAACCTTGTTTTTTCAGTGCCGCTTCAGCACTGATGCTCTCCAACCCCACCAGGCAGAAAAACTTCAGCAACATGTTAATTTGCTTGACAAGGTCTGGAGTTTCGAAAGAATATTTCACTCTCTTCTCCCCGCTCAATTACTGGGGTTAAACGCTCCCCTCTTAGGCAATCAACTCCACTGGCTCCTGCCAGCTTACCAAATGCCAGCCTTCCATCAGGATCGCCACCTGCTCCGTCAGTTAGATCGGCTTCCAAAAGTTTAATATCCATATGCTGCCTGACAGCGAGTACCGAAGTGTAACCGCGCTCCCCGATCCTGGCGGTGTCATTACGGAGCCCTCACAGAAGTGCCACCGAGCCTGTGGCTGCAGGACTCTTTGCCCTCGCTGACTTTGCCTTTGTTCTCCCAAAATAAACCCGGGAAACGCGCGGCGTGACGAAATCTTTTTTGTACCTCTTGCCTCGGAGCTTGTTTAGGTGAAGATATTCAGGGAAAATTGAAGCCAAATTAATTCTTAAAGCAAATTGCCCACTTCCAAAATTGTAATTTGTGCTCGGTGAGTCAGTTACTCGAACTCAAATGGGGAGGGCGTGTGGTTACGTGTGTCAGAGCAGGGTCGAGCGCACCCAGTCCTGTGGCCCTGTGGCTTGTAGCCTCCAAGGGCTGGTACGTGGTCACGGGCCATGTGGGAACCTCCTCCGTTCACTGCAGCCTGAAGGGCTTTTTAAAGTCTCTCTTCAGTGAAATTAAAAGGAAAGCTGTTTCCTCTGCGTGGCCCGTGGTCATTTACCACGTTAACTCTTTGGCGTGGAGAGGAGGAAACTTCTGCTGTCGGTTACGTGCCTTGAGCTGACTGTTGGAGGCTGGGATTTAACTGATCCCCCCCGACACTGGCACGTTCACCGGGTTCAGGATCTCGGAGCTGATGCGGATTCAGCCCTTCAGTCTGCGGAGCACGTCAGGCTCAGCTGGGGAGCAGCTGCCTGTGAAGGGGGTTTTGTCCCCAGCTCTCCCGTCGCGGCCAGGGCTGCTCATTCCATCCCCTCCGCGCGCACATTTTCAAAGGGAAATCCCCTTTTTGCCCCAACCTCGCTTACACCTGCCTGCTCCAGGGGTATTTTTCAGTCTCCTCTCCCTCTCCCGTGCCCCATGTCCAGGTTTCCCCCGCCCAGCCCACCCCCAGCACGGGCGGGCGACGGAGGCGCACGGTTGACGAAGACCCAGACGAGCGCCGGCAGCGATTCCTGGAGCGCAACCGGGCTGCGGCGTCGCGCTGTCGCCAGAAACGCAAACTCTGGGTGTCTTCCTTGGAGAAAAAAGCCGAGGAGCTCACGACCCAGAACATCCAGCTGAGCGTGAGTATGTAACCGTGGAGGCTGAGCGCAGCCCTTGGCCAGCCTTAGCGCCGTCGCTCCGGAGGGAGCATCCTCCCCGTGCTGCAGAGACGACGTGTGCTCGGGTGCTGCCTCTCTGCCTAGATTTTACTCCTTCCTTCCCATGCCGATGCTCTGCCTCGAGCAGGCAGTGAGGGAAGAGCACTTCAGGGCTCTTCTTTCCTCCCTGTCCCACTCGAGCGGGCTCTGCCCATCGAAGGCAGATGACACCCAGCTGGGTGGGAGTGTTGAACTGCTCGAGGGTGGGGAGGCTCCGCAGAGAGACCTGGGCAGGCTGGAGCGCTGGGCTGAGCCCAACTGGGGGAGTTTCACTGAGGGCAAATGCCGGGGGCTGCCCTTGGGCCACAACAGCCCCCAGCAGGGCTACAGGCCTGGGGAGGAGTGGCTGGAGAGCTGCCGGTCAGAGAGGGACTGGGGGGG